GGCTGGTATTATTATTATTATTATTATTATTATTATTATTATTATTATTATTATTATTATTATTATTATTATTATTATTATTATTATTATTATTATTATTATTATTATTATTATTATTATTATTATTATTATTATTATTATTATTATTATTATTATTATTATTATTATTATTATTATTATTATTATTATTATTATTATTATTATTATTATTATTATTATTATTATTATTATTATTATTATTATTATCTCTATTACCGTCTCATTCTCGTTGCCTTGCCTAGGAAGAAATCGAAGGAGGAGAAGAAGGGGGAGAAGAAGAAAGAGAAGAGGAGAGTGAAAGGTCTTTGTGTGATTTTTGTTCATCGTTTCTATTACGAAATTTATTTTATTTATTGTAAGTAACTATCCACTTACCTTTGTCTTTGATGATTTTGATTTATACGAATTTTATCTCTGCTAATCTATTAAAAATGAATTATCTCCTGATTTCATAAGTTTTCACAGTATAATTTTTATATGGTATATATTCTTTATACTATCATTCTAAATAATATGATATAATTTTATTGCATTTTCACCGGTTAAATATGTGTATATAAATTTTTGGGTAAAATAAGTGGGGAAAATGTATATTGAAAATGTGTTGAAAAGTAATGTATTATGATTCGATATGAAAATACTGAAATATGATATGGACTAGAATGATTGATGTGAATGAATACGAGTACGTTATTGAGAGAGTGGTATCATAGATATATACCAGCTGAAAGATGTGAATCATGTGCAAGCTTGACCCTTGAGGGCAGAAGAAAAAATTTGAAAAAAAAGTGCATCATAAGCTCAATGTATATACGTGATTATTCTATAATAATCAATGTGCTCATAAGGATCATATGATCCATCATAAGGATCAATGGCGAGTAACTTGAACCATGTTGAAATAAGGTGTTGGAGAATTTTGTAAGTCAAAGGAGATGATTCTTGGAAGCTACGTTGGGGGTTGAATTTATTTCTATCCCTTATCATGAATTCTTCTTAGAAGAGACATCACAACTCGTTACGTATAACATCACGAAGAGTATCTATAATGTGTTGAACATTTTGTATTTGGTAGGCTCTAAGTTGAGGATGTGTTAAACTCGTAGCATCATCTATTTCTAAATCATACCATGGAGGAGAAGCATTAGCTTGATGATGAGCATCTTCCATATTATGTTGATGATGACGTGGGAGAGAAACTTCATCATTTTGTTATGATACTCTTTGTTGGCGGGTCTCCTCTAATATTTGTAAGATTCGCACTTGTTGTTCCTCCATCCTTCGAATTTGAGTTTCTAAAGAATGAGGTCCTCTTTTATGATTATCCAAGATTGCCATATGAGTTTCTAGTTCTATAAGTGTAGGAACGAGAGAGAGAGCATGTTATTAGTACAACTTTGATGATCAGATTGAAGAAGAAATATTAGGAAGGCTTCACAGACAGTGTAAAACTATTGCGAGCTGAGAAATCCACAGTGATAGAGGGAAAAGATTTTACGTTTTGGCGATGAATAAAAATTTAACTCACAAATAGAGGATAAAGTAATACCAAGATTTTTACATGGAAAACCTTGAAAAATAATGGAGCCTTGCCTAGTTGAAAATATTCCACTAATATTTGAATAGATTGCAGAATTGGACCCATCCTTCAACTTGAGGACAATAAGAATATAGTAGATTGGAAAATATATCAAATAGCATATGAGTACGCTTGGCGTAGATGAAATATCAAATAATATTCAATAAAGGTCTGACAATGGTTGGGGATTCGATGACAATTAGTGGACGAACGAAAATCCAACAATAGTCAGTGGTCAAGATTAGATCTGATGGCGTCCAACAAACGGGTGGAAGTCCAGCGACGTTCACAAGTCGGGAGTAAATCTGGCGATGGTCTATCAACGTGTCAAAATCCGGCAACGGTCGTAAGACCAGAGGAGATTCTGCGGTGGCCAATAAACAGGCGAAAGTCCGACAACGGTCGATGGTCAGAAAGAGATCTGACGACTGTCAGTGCAAGCGAGGTTCCTAGCTTTCTCTTCTCTTCTTCCTCTCTCATGTAAAGAATGAGGAATCTACTTATAATTTTTTTAGAGTAACATGCCCAGTAAATATGGAGAAGATTAACAGTACTTCTGGCGGATTTCCGATAGATTTTTTGCAGGTATTTCTTGGTGATTTTCTGCTGGCTTTTCGAACGAATTTTCCGGTGGATTTCTGACATAATTTTAAATTTTTTGGAAAATGACAATTATAAATATTTTAAATTATTCATTTTGCTAAATTAAATATTACTAAAATAAAATAAATTTAAAAGTGAGCCCAGTTGGGCTGGACGGGGGCTTCAAGGGGCTGTGATTTTTTAATTTTTTTTTCTGGCGAAGTTTATATCTGCCGGAAGTATTTCCAATGGGTTTTCGCCGGAATTTCTCAGGAAATCATTCCGGAGGATTATTTTGCGACGGTAACATGTTTCCAACGCACGTTTTACCGTCAAATAATTTTCCATTGGAAATCCACCGGAAATGCTTATTTCCGACGGATTTTTGATATTTTTTGGCGGATTTTGTCTGCAGGTAACACGTATTTCTCCTGTAGTTGGTATGTTGGGAGTTTTCCATCGGACGACTCATGATGATCCCCTTAATCATAGAGCATTTATTAAGTATTAAATTGCCATAGAAATGTCATAATTGGGTGATTTTGGGCTCGTTGGATTCGTCTCATCAAGTCTCTCAATTCGACTATAAGCGTTTCATATTTGAATAGCATTTAGTTATCCAATTAATATTCTGACGCTTTTAAATAGTCTTTTGTCATTAGATTTTGACCATTTGGACTCATATTGAATTGAATTTGGTGTTGTTGGGTTCGTCTCCTTGAGATGTTCAATTTGACTATAAGAGTACTAAAATTGGAGTTTGAATGGTCCCGGATTTTATTTTGAAAATTTTTAATTAAGATTTACATCGGGATTCGTGACCGATCAATATGATTTTTTGGTGACATATAAAAAATTATTAGATATAAATAAAAAAAGGCATCAATCAAAAACATTTTTATGAATATATGACATGAGAGTACTTATTAATAACATTTTCTTAGTCATCAATCCCAACAACATTTTTAAAGCAATTATTTTAAATTTGTCCAATAACATGCTGGAAGAATAATCATTTCAATCACAACGGAAGTCTTCATAGTTTAATTAGATAAATGCAACCATTTGGATGAAAAGAAAGTGAAAGCATCAATTCTAAATCACTTTTTATTAATTGAATAGATTTAATGTTAAAAAAAATCAAAATTTTCATTGAGACAACATAAGTACATAACTAAAATATGATCAGGCTCTTATTTGATCCAAATTTTATATTTTTTTCCCCTTCTTTGATACCACGATAGGAATATTTCATGAACATTGTAGGGAACATTTTTTGAGCTATGTAACTCTAGTAATCTAGAGAAAATGGAAGATTAAACAATAAGGTAATCAATTGCCAAAGAGAGATACAAACATAGCACAATAATAATGTGAATATACAGTGCATAGCTACTTGTCTTCTTTCTCCCTTCATTTGCTCTAGCTTCAAAATATGCTCCCATAGCTATTACTTTTAAAGCAAACATTTGTTGATTGCAGTATTGTATGCCCTGAAAGAACAAGCAAAAGATAGTTTGTGAAATTGTTTTTTGGCTCTTGGATATAGCCATTTGTTTGAATCAATTGATAATAGTGTATGTTTGTTGCTAGCTCTGCTAAGCTTCACTTTTGTGTATGGAGCTTTAGTATTTATCTTTTTTAATTCCTTGATAATAAAATCTGCAGGTTGGCTTATTGTTTTCTTCACCAATAATGGTTCATAGATAGCCTTGTTAATATTGTCAAGCAGTGCAGTTGGCGAGTCAAATGAGTTCTCAGAGTTGTAGAACATCTGGAAAATCTTTAAGCATGATAGATGCATCATTTTCCACTCTGTAGGCATATCAGACTCAGAATCCTTGGACATCACCAATTGAAGAAATTCTTTTTCCTTCATTTTCAAAGTGTTCTTTATGATAGCAACGACATCATCAATTTTGGCTTTTGGATTCTGCATCAGGTGTAAGAGAACTATATTTGGTTCTCCAGCTTTAGCTTCTCTCTGCATAGTATTGATATTTCATAACATTAATATGATAAATTGAGTAGTAGAATGAATGATTACTACAATTTAGGGTTTAGGTATTTTTTTACTTTTAGCAACATTTGGAAAATGACATGGATGAGAGAATTTTTTAGCAACTTAAGATACATGGATAAAGCATGTTCAAAATGAATTATAAGGAATAATTTTGATATAATAACAACACTTTACAAGTATAAATGAGATTTTTTTTTTAAGACTCATTATACTAACCTCCAATTGTTGGAATAAAGCTAATGATGATGATGAACATGGCTTACAAAGAAAGGAAAAATTAGTATATTGCCATGTTATAAAGAGTGAGTTTTATGTCTTCTTTAGCTTCTTCCTTAAGAATTTGTTACCATGTCTTCAATTCCTCAATCATTTTGGTTTCTTATTTCAAACCACTTGTAAAACAATGTTTACTGTGATTTTTTTTTTTAAATTTATATGTCATTGTCATGGAACTCTCTAAAGCCTAAAGATGTTAGGAGTGGGTTCCTATTTCAAGGTGTGTTTATGTGTACTTATGTTTGTGTTAATCAATTTTTTGTTATGCTTGTAAAGGTATGGGTCAATTTTGAATAGTTTGAAAAAGCTCTAAATAAGTGATGTGTTAACAACCTAATCCGCTCCATCTTATCATATTTCATAAACCTAATTTAGTGTTATAACTTAGAATAATCTTTTAATAATAGTTTTCAGACAAGTATAATTGAAGTATAATGTGCAAAGATATTTTCCCTCTATGACCAATAATCATATGCACAATAGTTTACTCATTTTAAGCCTCCTTTTTCAATGTCATCAAATACAACTAGTCGTACTTAATTTAATATGTTAAATGATTTATTATAGACCATGCTTTAAGAAAAGAAAGAAAGAAAAATTGATGTAAAAGATGAAGAGTTGTTAACAAACCTCGTAGCTCTCTAAGTCATTCAATAAGCGGCATAAAACCTCAAGAGATTTGGTAATTATAGCACTTCTAAAATTCCAAGAACTCTCTTGAAGGGAGACTTTTGGCTTTGTCAAATAACATTTTGGAAGAAGAATCATTTCAACAGCAACCGAAGTCTTTGCATTTTCAATATACTCATCAATTGATGGATAATGAGAATTTTTGCTCCACTCTACTTCTTTTAGCCATGATATGAATATATCTTTCCACTTCATAACATAGAAAAAAAAGACAATAATATTGATTAGCATCTTAGATGTATATCATGGCAAAATTAGTACTATGAATGATTTAGAACTCACAGCATCTTGTAGAATTTTCTTCACATTATGACCATGTTGCTTGAAGGACTTCACAGAAATATCATGAACTAGATCATTGAGGACGGTGAAAATAATTTTACTATGGCTTGTTAGAGCTTTTCCCTCCCATCTACATTGGAAAACACAGTTAATTGACTTCTTAGTAATAAAATCAAACATCATTATCAAGGAATCCATGAAACATAAAAAATGCAATTAAGAGCAATTACTCATTTGAACAATATAGTAATTAATTAGATAAATCTAATGATTTTAATGAAAAAAATTAAAAGAAATGATTTTGGAGTTTAAGCTACTTTTTGATAGTATAAAATATTTATTATAGTAGAAAACATTAAAATACAAATGTTCATCATGAGCAGGATTGATAAATAGGTTCAATTTATATCTAAGTTATAATTTTTCTCTACCTTTGCAATGAATCTGTTAGTATGGATAAATCATGTAATGAGCCTTTCTCATCAAAGAAATCATCTGCAACTGTAAAAAAAGTTGCACATTTGGCTGCTTCCTTTCTTGACTCTGTGTTGAGAGGAAGGCAAATTGCTGAAGCAATGGCAAAATAGCAATACGTTGTCTTCTCCCTACCAAATCCCATCGTGAAGAGGCCAGTATGTTTGGACCACCTTATATACAAATCAAGAGAGGAATTTATTTAACAAACAACTATCGAAAGATATTAAAAGAAGGGGAGAGGGGATATTTAAAGTACCTATGCAACTCATTGAGCTCCTTCCTGTACACCAATTGTCTCATCATAAAATTATTAGTGGCAAGTTGGAGGAGATCATCATTTCTTAAGATGCTGCATTTTATCCAGTGATAAGAAGTTAACTATACATCTTATCTAGTTATCTATCATTATTTCATTTAACATTTACCAGCATGGAGCATTCTTTCCAATCCAAAAGTGATAGATCCCTCCTCTTTCAATGTACAACCTGTGCTCCAAATGATCCATTCGAGCTAGCCATTTAAGCCCCAACTCATGCTCAATCTGTAAAGAATATATAGGTTTTAAACAAAGGAGATTAGCAATAAATTTATATTGATCATACACTTATATTAACTCACCTCTTGTTCAAATTTAGTTGATCTAGCTAAAGTATTAGATTCATTCTCAGATTTCATGCTCAAGATTCCCATCTGCAAGATTTGTCGAGAGAATGCTCCAGCCTTATCAAGTTCATAATCCTCAGGAAATGCAATATGTGATGCTTTGTAAATACTAAGCATGGGGCTTAAAAAGAAGGCATAATTATCTTTCATATATGATAGATTTTTCTCATCATCAATGAACCAACAAAATCTCCCTGTACAAAGGCCATAGGCCATACAGATTAGTTGCTTCACTAATCAAACACGTATTTTGGAAATTTCAAATATTCTATTTATTCAGTCAACTACTTACTTGGAGAAACTTGATAGCCATGCATCCTTAATAGTCGAAAAGCTAAGGAGTCTTTGTATATTTGAAACGCATCATCATCTTTCTGTGGGACTTTTGATTCTTCTGCAATCCATTTTCTATGAACAAAATACAAATATTGAAATTATCACATTAACTTCATCTATGAAATTGTAAATGTATAAGAGTAGTTATTTTTCTTCTTGAAGAAGAGAAAATGTTTTATATTTTTAGTAAAATATCCGCATCTTATAATATTGACGAATTAATTAAAATAAATTAAAAAGAGAGACATACCTATGTAGGTGATCCATGACATTACTGATTTCTTCGGAGAAATGCTCTGCACATCCAAGCCTCTCCAAGTGATCAACCACACAAAGCTTTATAACATCTTTGTCCTCTAAGTATATTGGAGGAACTATTTTAAAAATATAAAGAAATAAGAAATTAATATGACTAATAAAGATTATAATAAAACAATATAGTAATCCATAAGAATTCCCACAATTAAATATTAAATTTATTTAATAAAATTCAGTATGTATCTTATATATTTGATTGCTTATTTTATATTTATGTATTGATTGTAGTAATAATATAATATGACCTCATGGATTAATTAGTACCTCCATGTTGGCAATCGGCAAGCAAGTGTTCAAGATAAGTTTTGTAAGTCTGGTTTCCAGTAATCATGTAAGCACAAGCGGTCACCGATGGTGATCGACAGAGTAGTGCCGAGCTGCGGTTTTTAAATGCGATCTCTCTCATCAGAACTCTCTCATCAGCCTCTTCTTTTTCAAGCTTTATTCCATTCAATTGAAAGTCATAAAAAACTCCATTGTTGCTCTGTTCAGTAGGAAAGACTTTCAAGCCTTTTGCTTTTGCAAGCTTAGCCATCAAAAACCACCTATGAAGAAGAGCATGCCCAGCTTCATCACCATCATCATTGCTATTTCTCATATTTATCAATTCCTTCTCCATGCAGCCTTGGAGAAATTTTAATCCTGTGTACATACACATGAGCATAATAAATTAATTGATTCATATATTTTCATAAATATAAAATATAAATTACAAAAAGATATGTTATTATTGTACCTTTGTTTATTTTGTGAGAGAAACCAATGCTATCCCAAGTCTTTAGAGCAATTAAGCAAGCAAGAGTGGCCAAAAGATCATCATTGCTCCATTGATGCTTATAATTTATATGCTCATGATAATCAATATTAATACCATGTTGTTGATCAAACCAGAAGCCCAGATCATTTTGGTTGCGTAGAATCCAGGTCAAATACTCCGGGAACATCGGGTGGGTTGGGTCATCTGGGTCTGGCACCATGGCGACCCATGCCGTTTCATATGCAGATACTGGTACGAAGGCATACAGGTCGGCTGATGGAGAGAAGAGCTTCTCCTTCATCCTCTCGATGGCTTCCTCGAACCACAATGACTGCTCCATTAGTATCTAGGTGACTATCTTACCACAATCCACAGAAGAATGCTTGCTTCCCATTGTATTTATAATTGCTTTAAATCAGGACATGTGACACACGATTGCACAATTCTTCTTTTACTTGCACTTTGCTTCTCTTTCATATTTATGTACCTTATGTTTTTTTTTTTTTGTTCTTATTTCATAGCTATAATTCAATTGCGATCACTTGATTTTTTTTTTCTCAAAATATTCTTCATCTGGGAATATTGATCACGAAATTGCTCCACGAGAATCTCATTTTTTTTAATATTTAATTAAAATTTTTATGTATCTGAATTGTAATTATCTGAATTGGGTCACTATTGAATTATCTGAAATTAGCATATTCTTTCTTTTACTTGACTAATGTTATAATATTATTTATGCTTAAACTATTAGATTACGGTTTCGTTTGGGACCGTTTTTTATTGCTTTTTAAAATAGCTTCTTAGTACGAAAAAAATTAGAAAGCTACTTTAGAATCAGTAAAAAAATTGGCTCAAACGAAATCTAATCTATTCCTGTAATGGGTTCACTCCAAATTGATATTTTAGCTTGAGTTTAAGTGCGAGCTCGACTTGTGTGCTCAATAAGCTCGTCTTGCAAGCCCATAAATGAGTTGAGCTCGAGCTGGCTCGGCTCACTTGCACCCGTAGTTCCAAATGAAATCTTAATCTCAAATAATAATAATAATAATAATATCATTGTACTCTCTAAATATCGGAGCCCATTCTTACCGTAGATATTATTGGACCACATAAATTTAAAGAAATTATTCAGTGCGGATGCCGAATGCAGCTTTACATCCGGAGACAAATTAGAATGAGCCACGTCAGCAATACTGAACCGTGGTACCGACATTGCTCATTTTGATTGGTCTCCGGACGGCATTCTGCGCCTAATTTTAAGAGCACAACTACCACAAAATAGTCATTGATTTGATCAGATCTTCAAGGAGGAAGTGAAGGAAAAACCTCATCAATAACAATGTATTTAAAGCAGATTTACTTCTTCTAAAGAGGAAGGGTGCCTGATATTTCTCTTGCCGATCACCGAATAATGTCTCGTGGTTTCTTGTCTTAGCCATTTTTAATTATCTTTAGTCCTTAATTACTATTTTTCACAAGATTGTGAAATCAGACCGGACAACGAATCAGAAAAATGAGATTTCACGATTTCACCGGTTCGACCGATCGAACCGGATAATGTAATAAATAATATTATTATTCAAAAATCTCAAATTCAGCAAATCTGAATATCAATTCCAGCAATTAAGAAATTTGATTTCGGTAAATACAAAAATTCACAAATGCAATTTCAGCAATACACAATATTTTCCAAATTATTCTCTAAACAAGCACGACAGATAGATTTAAGAATACTAAAAACAAATTTGCTTACATAAATAAACTTGAACGAAGGATTTAAAATCATCAAACCAATGCTTACAATAAACAAACACAATTTATTTTAAGATGTATCTATGAGACATGCGACGTCGATAATGATTGAACTGAATCGAACCAAACCTTCTTGGCCTAAACATCATCATATTGATCTGAAAAAAAAAAACAGATTTGTTATTTGTAAAATAGAAGATTTGAAAAAAAAAAAAAGAAACATTTGAACTTCATCAAATCTATAAAATGGATGACCTAGCAGCGGCAAACAGCAAGGAACAGTATTTCTCATGTGGATTGAGGTCGAGCAGAGGCGAGGAGGAGGCATAGCTACAAATGAACGAAATGAGGGATTACATAATTGCAAAGGAATTTAGTTTTTTTACAAATCTGGACCGCATGATCATAATCCAACGGATCAGATTTCCCTACGTTTAAATAGGACAGTTTTGGAAAATTTGTGCCGTTTCTATAGTTCGCTGGTTCGACTGGCGGTCCGAACAGTTTTGGACTATTCAATGCTAATCTGATTTTACAGAAAAAATGATCTGTTCGGCCGACCAGTTTATTCTACAACCAGTTGAACCAGACAGTCCGATCTGATCTTAAAATTTTTGATTTTACATGTTAACTAATAGCTTTATTTTTGCCCGTTTGTCCTTAATTACTATTTTTGTTTGCTAATATATATATTGTTTTGTTTTGGAAAATTTTATTGTGATGTGATACGTGTACATTGTCTGGAGGGTATTCTTGGTATGTTTATTTATTTTTTCTATACTATGGATGTCATGCATGCATTTTTATACACTTTGTTTCAAAGTGCACCTTATTTATATGCATGCATTACATTAGTAGATCTAAGGATATTTTTACTTATGTATCTATTTCATGCATCATACACATCGCTAGGTATATTCTTTTGCATATTATAAAGTCTCTGATTTAAACCTCTTGAACTACAAATCCTTAATTCCTTAGGATAGAACCTTCTTATCTTACATATATATAGGGCGATTGATTGTGTTTAGGATGTTAGCTGGCAGCTCACTCCAGGCAAGCATAAGCCTAGATTGTACTCCCCTTAGTGTGTATTTTCACTTTTGATATTTTTTGAACATATCATTCCTCCTAGGATAATAATTCAATCTTTGATCTTTTAAACTCAAAATCTTAATCACATCTTTATTCATTTAAAAAAGTCTAATCATCACTAAGGATAAATAGAATAGTTTATCTTCTTCGGAATAGAACTTATAAACTTTCTTTGTGCACCAAATTAAGAAGGAAATAATACACCGTCTTTAATCGAGAGTTTTCATAGGTCAAGGCCTAGGATGTAATTAACCCCGGGGGCTTGCGCCAGTGGAAGATCGATCCCCACATCAAATAAACCCTATTCGAGTTGATGTATCGAATAGGGGAAATCTCGTGACTTTAATTAGGTTATATACATTATTATCCATCGAAGTGTGTATGCGAAAGCCGCTATCTTCCATAACTAATCGTATATATAATTTCATCTGCTCTTCCATCGGTCTGCTTGTGTCGAGCGTAAAGGCTTAAGATCATTTTGTCCTATAGAATAAGTTGGTCGTACCCTTTGCATTCGAATCCCACAAGCAGAATCCTTTCGGAGACCCACAACATTATTATCACAATACTATAACATTAATATTGACCAGCTAAATCACATTTACACATTCATTTCTAATGTATTACAGCAAATAAATAATAATTGAGTTTAATTCATAAAGTGTCAAAATGTCTTGACAATATGCAATAGAAAACAATACCGAGGAGGAATTCATATTTTTAAAAATTAATCAAATTACTAGAGATTATATATAAGGATAATATGAAGTTTTAATTGAACTAAAAATACTATTTTTAGATGTGAAAATAAAATATTGAATTAATAAAAATCATTACTCTTTTAAAATCACTCGCAAAAAATTTCAAATAAATACTCAAGACGTTCATAATCTCAAAAAGTTATACGGAAAAAATTTTACCAATACAAAAATATTCTTATTTTTTGGTAACAAAAATATAAATTTGATCAAAAAATTTTAAAAAATACAAAATTATTGAAATAAAAATAAAATAATAATTCCTTATATCGATACCAAAAAATTTTCCAATAGGACCAAGTGGTTAAAATATGTTGCCTTAAGGTTGTTAAATCCCAATTTTTTTTTTCTCTCCTCTATTTTGTCTCTAATTATTTTTTTTCCTTCTCTAGCTTGTAAAAACCGAACGGAAAAGGTGCTAACGGATTTAAATTTTATAATAAAATAACAATATAAGATTAATATAATAATATAATATAATTATTTTTTAGCATAAAATAAATATATATTTTTTGGGATTAAAAAATTATTAAATAGTATCCATAAAATAGTTCATTTTTTTAAAGTTTTTTTAATGAAATCGGTTTGCAAAATGGACACCAAACGGTCTCAAAATCCCCACTTTTATTAATAAATGTCAATTTCTTTAAAATTTGAATTAGTGCCCAAAAATTATGAAAATTTTAGTGTGATTAAATCACCATAATATTTATCTTATGACCGAAATGATTTATGATTTAGACTTATAATGACTTCTAAAAATATTAATTTGACTAGTTTAAAATACGGGCTATTACACCTTCGACCATCGTCGTCCGACTAAGGTCCTTCAGACCTCCATCGCAAGTCAACTATGGTCCCTCCGACTACCGTAGCCCAACTAGGTCTTTTTGACCATCGTCGTAGGCCGACTACGATTCCTCTGTCCATAGTCGCTCGATTACGGTCCTTTCGACCACCATCATTTTTCGACTACTGTTCTTCCGACCATCATTGCCCGCCGAATATGCTCCCTCCAACCGCAGTCTTATGACTATGGTCCTTCTAACCTTCATGGTCGCCCAATTATGATCCTTCTGACCACCATTTTCTATGGTCCCTCCAGCCATCGTTGCCCAACTATGATCCTTTCGACCACCATCCCCCCATCAAATACGATCTTTCTCACTACAGTTGCTTGCTAATACAGTCCATCCAACCATCGTGGCTCGACTATGATCCTTTTGACCTCCATCACCCACCAATTAAATATGGTCACTTTGACCATTGGCAACCGACTATGGTTCATCTGACCTTCATCGCCCGCCAATTATGGTCCCTTTGACCACCGTCGCCTAAATATGGTCTTTCCAACCATCGTTGCCAAACTACGGTCCTTCCAACCTCTGTTACTTACCGATGAAGGTCCCTCTAACCTTTGTAGCCCAAATACAATCTTTCTAACCCAATATATATTCTAATACTCTCTTGAGAATAACTCTTATGACGTTGGGTTTTTAGCCTCAACGTTATAAAGTGTTCTATATGATGTATATTTGCTACATTAAGCCAAAACCTTCCCCCGAGGAAGGGCATTTTTATAATTTACCAACAAACACAAGTGGATTCATTTAAACTGGGTAAAACTCCGTGGTTTTCTCCCCTTTTCAGAGGTTTTCATGTAAAAATTCTGTTCTCTTTTGACTGCTGCTTCTCTCTCTCTCATATCTATATGTGTGCTAGATCTTTAGATAAAGCTAAGACATTAAGCACTCTATCTCTCTACCACAATAAAATTTTTAGGACATAACATATATATAGCTGAGAAGATTAATGCTCATCCTTCATTCTCTCAATTGTTTCAGCAAACCACAATGACGGCTTCATTACTAGGTTTACCTAATTGCTTCACCTCAGCAAATATGAATATATTAAGTGTGAAGACGAACACATGCTTATAACTTTGTAGTTATAGATGTTAGTTCTTTGTAGAATCTAATTGTGTTGATTAATTGGGTGGTACTGTTGCTGTGGACCTCAACTTAGTTTGTCATGTTAGCTGGGGGGAGGGGGTGTAGGGGGCCATCCCCCTGCTTAGGTTCGGGAACTTTGCACTCTAAATTTTTTATGTACAATGCACATGCATTATGTACCCGAGTACCCCAATGTTGCATTGTTCGATGAATTCTTGTGAAATCAACAGAGCAGAGCCCTGTAGCATTGTATTCTCGGCGCCGCAGTGCTATCAGACAAACCAAATGACACAGGTAGAGCGTCGCTGCTCTCCAAACTGGCGTTGTAGCGCTTTGAGGCATACCAAACAATTTTCTTTTTTGATTTTCTTAAGGGTGGCGTCCTTGGGTGTTACTTGAGTTTCTTTTTTATTTTGAGTGTAAGAACGGTGTGAGATTGATGAGAAGCAACAAGAGAGTGAGAAATAATAGAGATCTTTCTTTTTCTTTGATTGACCTGAAAATAGCCCGACTCTAAAAGATGATCATCGAGCCAATTTTGGATTAGCGAGTTAACCTGAATACAATCCGATTTTTAAAACGGGTCGATAATTAAGACCTTAACCTGAACCTAAAAGAAGAATCTCAAACATGAATGGAATCAAAAGGAAGATGAACCTGGTTCAATGGTGAGTGGCTTAATGACTAATAACACATCTCTAGCACGCAAAGTATATATACAATTTTCCTATCCGTTCACACTCTTAAATATCATGAAAACAAATTAAGCAACGACTGATATGAAATAGAAAATCGAAATTTAGTTTCGAAAGCTGTTGAAACTTCTGCTTTTTAGTTTTTACTATGGCAAGAGATTAGGCTTTGTTTGGGTTAATTTTTATGAACTATAAATTTTTTTATTGAAAAAGTATTTTAAAAAATAGTAAGAAATTTATCTCAAATAAAACCTAAATCTAACTACCCTTATTTGAACAAATTTTAAGCTATTTACTTGATTTTCTTGTACTTGAACTATTCCTGCTTTTACTTACATTTAAGAATTTTAGAATTCTTTTGTTTTTAATTTGGGTCATAAAAAGATGAGTATAATATATAATTAATTTATAAATTTATTTATTAGGATTATGAGAAATAATCATAAATCAAGGACTAAAGAATCAATCCTAATTTAATTTTTTTTTTCCAGATTTGATTCCAAAAGCTATGCAAATAATTGCTTCTATAGGAAAATAATTTTAGCTGTTATGTCTAATACTTATTAGAAAAGAAGGTACAGTGGTCACATCCCAATAAAATATCATGTTTACTCAATCAATATAAATTAAATGATTGGGATTCCTCATTTTTCACCTTTCTATTTTTTAAAGTAAATTTTTAGTTAAAAAACTATAAATTTTAGACTAAATAATTGTTTTAAGAAGTAATAAGAAAGCTGTTCCAAATAAAATCTTAAGCATCCTTTGTGACGGCTTTCAAATTATTTTCTAAACAAATTTTTATAATAAAATTTTTATATCAAAATGCTATTTTAAAAAATAGAATAATGATTGTGTTACATATGAGTATATATAATTCTTATATAAAAGAATAGAAGGTCAACTTCAAAAATTTATAAAAGAACATATTTTACACATGATGTTAGTCATCCATCACCGAACAATGATTGTGGCCATCTATGTGCTCACTATCATTTTACTTATGATGATATTTTATTGAAAGTCATTTGAGATATTATGATTGCTAACCATATAGAATTGCACAAGTAAATATTACAGTCTCCCAATCTTAAAAATCACTTACAGTTTTTTTTGGACATTTGAGCCAATTAAGATAAATTCATACATACATTATATATGAAAGCTTCAAATTCAAGATTTTTTTGTTGATATCTAAAGCTCCCGACCAATACATTAAAATGACCAACATAATCACTCGAAAATTTGAAATCCATATGCAGTCGATCTTCTTCATAAAATTACAATCAAGGCACAACATTTATTTATTTATTTAACCTATCAAATCCAAATAGGCAAATACCTTATTAAAAATACGAATTAGAAATTCAAAAGCTCGTGGCCCCTTTCTCTGGCTCGAGCTTCAATTTCTGATCCAATAGCTACTAATTCCAAAGAAAACTTTTGTTGATAGTGCCTAACTATCTGGCTTATTTTTCCTTCATTTGCTCAAGCTTCAAGATCGGCTTCCATAGCTATCACTTCCAAAGCATATTTTGATATCCGGGAGAATTAAATTGCATAAAATAACAAGCAGAAGGTAGCTTGTGAGACATTTTCTTTATTTGTGGATCTAGTCATTTGTTTAAATTAAATGAAATTAAGAGTGTCCCTTTGTTACTAGATCTGCTAAACTTTTCTTTTTGTAGTTGAATTTTAATTTTTGTAGTTCATAAATGTTTGATAATTAAGTCTCTAGGTTGACTTGTTAGCATTTCCCTCCCCAACGGTTCATAGATTGCTTTGTTAATGCTATTTAGCAGCATATTTGGTGAGTCGAATGCATTCGTAGAATTAAAGAACATCTGAAAAACCTTTAAGAAAGATAGATGCAGATCTTTCCACTCTCTAGGCATTTGAGATGTTGCAGAATCTTTGGACATCACCATTTGAAGAAGTTCTTTTTTCCTTTTTTCCAAAACGGTCCTTACAAAAGCATGGAATCATCAATCTTGGCCTTTGGATTCTCTTTCAAGTACAGTAGAACCATGTTTGGTTTACTAGCCTTAGCTTCTTTCTGCAAATTAATTTTTATTTCAGTAAACATCAACATCAATTGTGTACTCAAATACAACTGATTTTTTTTGGTGAGCTAATTTCTTTTATTCAATTCTAGGTCTTACTTTAACTAAATAAGAAAAGGAATAATGGATGTAAGTAATAAAATATAGTTAATAAACCTCATAGCTCTCTAAGTCATTCAACAAGCGACATGAAACCAAAAGAGATTTGGTCATCATAGATTTGCTGAAGTTCCAAAACTCTTCGGCATCTACTTTTGAGTTTGTCAAATAACATGCTGGAAGAATAATCATTTCAACTGCAATTGAAGTTGTCGCATTTTCAATATATTGATCAATTGATGGATAATGAGGACTTCTGCTCCACTCTGCTTCCTTTAGCCACGACTTGAATATTTCTTTCCACTTTATAACATATAGATAAATTCACAACTCTATTAAATAGATTATTAAATGTTTATGATGGTAGAATTAACGTTGAAAAAAATTTATGAGGACTCACATCGTCTTGAAGAATTTTCTTCACATCATGACCATGTCTCTTAAGGAACTTCAAAGAAATATCTTGAACTAAATTGTCGAGGGCAGTGAAAATAACTTTGCTATGACTTGTTTGAGATTCTCCCTCCCATCTATGATTAATGGGGATAAACAAAATCAAGATTTTGTTGATAGAACTAATAATGCAAATACAACAAAAACATTCAATTTAATTGTTTTACAGACAACTTGAAATATAGATAGAGTTTCAAAGTTTTTTTTCTTAAAACTTTCTTATGTGAATCCCAATTGTTTTCGTATAATTTACTTTCTAGAATTTTTATATGAAATGAGAAATATATTTTAAAATTATATTGCATAAAATTATGCATGAATATGCCAATATAAATTTAAAACATATGTAAGCAAATTTTCAAATTAAACACATATTTTTATTAGATATATAATATTTATCTTATTGAAGATATCAAAACTTCTTGTTAGAGATCAAAAATAGCATCTCTCTACAATGAAAATGATGATTATATTCTATCAATGCTTTAAAAAAATGTTGAGATATATAAAGTATTATACACATCATCAAATATTATTCTATAAAAATCCTTAAAATATTAGAAATTTAGTTTTGATTAATTGTTTATATATTTGAATAATGTAATAATTACTTAGATAAATTTAACGATTTGGATGAAAAGTTAAAATTGAATGAATGGACATTTAGCAACATTTTAATGTTAAACAGATTGTCTATTATAAAAATGTAATATCAAATAATTTATTGACATAAAAGAATTGCAAATAAGCAAAGTGTGCAATGATCAATTCCTATCATAAGTAACATTTAATATTTTCCTACCTTTGAACTGCATCTGTTAGGATGGATAATTCATGCATTGAGCCTTTCTCATCAAAGAAATCATCTGCAACTGTATCAAGATTGCACATTTTGTTGCTTCCTTCCTTGAATCTATGTCAAGAGGGAGACAACTTGAAGAAGCCATGGCAAAATAGCAGTATGTTGTCTTCTCTCTACCAAATCCCATCATGGAGAGACCAGTATCCTTAGACCACCTTTATATACAAATTTAGATGGAATTACAAAATTTTGAGAAGAAAATTTACCTAAAAAATAACTGTGAAATAAAACAAAAGAGGAGGCAAATATATTTTATCTGTAGTATAGTAAACTACCTCTGTAATTCATGCAGCTCCTTTCTATATGTTGATTGCCTCATCATAAAACTATCAATAGCAAGTTGGAGGAGGTCATTATTTTGTAAGATCCTGCATTTTTATTTTGTTATTAAAAAAATGTTCAACAACCAAATCATTTATCTTAATTAAGCTCCTATAAATTTACCTATAGGGTGCATTCTTTCCTACCCAGAAGTTGTAGATCCCTCCTCTTTCAATGTACAATCTATGCTCCAAATGATCCATTCGTGCTAGCCATGTAAGCTCTAACTCATGCTCAATCTAATAAAGTATAGGTAGGTTTCATACAAAATAGATTATGCATGAAATTTTACATAAAGAAATTGATTCACTCTTATATTGATTCACCTCTTGTTCAAATTTCTTTGATGAATATGAAATATTGGTTTCATTTTGGGATTTCATGCTCATGAGTCCCTTCTGCAAGATGTGCATAGAGAACACTCCAGCCTTATCAAGATCATGATCCTCCAAAAAAGCAATATGTGATGCTTTGTAAATGCTAAGCATGGGGCCTAAAAAGAAGGCATAGTTATCTTTCATATGTGATAGCATTTTCTCATCATCAATGAACCAACAAAACCTTCCTGTACAAAGGCCATTAACATCAAACACATTTACTAGTAAAACTAAAATATGTTTATGAAATTATTCATAGATGAATAAATATTTATTTCTAATGTTTTTAGAAATATTAAATATTTTATTCATGTAGTCAACTACTTACTTGGAGAAACTGGATAGCCATGCATCCTTAATAGTCGAAAAGCTAAGGAATCATTGTAGATTTGAAATACATCATCATCTTTCTTTGAAACTTTTGATTCTTCTTCAATCCATTTTCTACGAAAAAATACAAATATTGAAATTAATCATGTTAACTTCATCTATGATTTTTTAAATGCATAGAATAGTTTTGTATCTTCTTGAAGGACAGAAAATGTTTTATATTTTTTGTAAGAAAAAAATAACAATGTCAAGTTGTCAAATTTTAGAAATCTAATTTATTTTAGTTTCAACTTAAAATGGTTGAAACTATCAAATATAGGAGAAATTAATATGTGCAGACTAAATTATAGTATACAGTGTGTACGAGCCAATAAACAGCTAATACGCAACTAAAACCTACCAATACATAGTTAGTACACAATTTGTATTAGCTACGTGTTATCATTTGATTAGAGTTCGGATGTAGCTCTTGTCGGTACTCCGCTAGTAATAATTTCTTCATATATAGAGAGCAAGTTTCATCTGACAAACAACTTGTGATTTTTAAAATTATAATAATTTTAAAAATAGTTAATAAACTTTTATATATAATGAACTTCAAATCGAATTTATATTAAAATGAATTATAAAAGAAAAAAAAATACCCGTATAAGTGATCCATCGTATGCTTGATTTCTTCAGAGAAATGCTCCGCACATCCAAGCCTCTCCAAGTGATCAACCACGCAAAGCATCATAAAATCTTTGTCCATTGAGAACATGGGAGGAACTGTAAATATATTATATAAGTTAAAAGAATTTAAGTTTCCTCCAAAAATATTTTAATTGTCTAAAACTTCTTTAAAAATACAAATACGAAATTTGGGTCAAATATTTCTACTAAAATTTAAATAGAATGATTTATTAAATCATTATATTTATTATGAGAAAAATATTTTATAAGTTAGAATTGGTTGATTAACAATTTAATAATTTTAAAAGTCATTAAGAAAAAATTCATTATTTTATATTTATGTATTGATTGCAGTTATAATATTTTTCAACCTCACGGATTATTACCTCCGTGTTGGCAATTGGTAAGCAAGCGTTGAAGGTAAGATTTGTAAGTCCAATCTCCAGTAATCATGTAAGCACAAGCGGTCACTGATGGAGATCGCAAAAGTAGTGTGGAGCCATAGTTTTCAAATGCAATATCTCTCATCACAAGTCTTTCCTTCTCAATCATGTCTTCAACCTATTCTCTTTTAAGCTTTGTTTCATTCAATTTAAATTCATAAAAAAATTCATTATTGATTTGTTGAGCCGAAAAGACTTTCAAGCCTTTTGCCAATGCAAGCTCAGCCATTAAAACCCACCTTCGAAACTGAGCATTCCCAACTTTGTCACCACGCTCTTCTCTCTTTCTCATATTCATCAATTCTTTATCCATGTTGTCTCGGAGAAATCTCTGCCCTACATATGTACAAATGAGTATAATAACTTAATTCATTCATATACCTACATAAATATAAAATATGCATTATCTACATAAACATAAATATCTAGTTATTGTACCTTTGTTTATTCTATGAGAGAAACCATTGATCTCCCAAGTTTTTAGAGCGATTAAGCAAGCAAGAGTGGCCAAAAGATCATCATTGCTACATTGACTCTTATAATCTATAAGCTCATGATGATCATTATTAATACCATGTTGCTCATCGAACCAAAAGCCCAAAGCATTTTGACTGCGTAGGATCCAATCCAAATACTCCGGAAATATTGGGCTAGTTGGGTCATCAGGGTCAGGCACCATGGTGACCCAAGCAGTCTCATATGCAGAGACAGGAAGGAGGGTGAAGAGGTTGGCTGATGGAGAGAAGAGCTCCTCCTTCATCCTCTCGATCATTTTTGCAAGCCCCAATGATTGCTCCATCACTAGGTATAACTTCACCTCAGCAAATATGAATATAGTAAGTGTGAAGAAGCATGCATGCTTGCCTGCCTTTGTATTTATAGATGCATTATAGGACATGTGATACACGTGCTTCACAATTATTTCAATAGACAAAGTTTAATTAATTACACTTTGCCTGTGATTAAATCATATGCAAATGAATTATTAACTTCTATTCTCATCATGAAAACGCTTGGGTGAACAAAGTGCATTGCGGCACATTACTAAATTAATGTAGATTTTTGTTATTAGAGAAAAAATATATTTAAATTATAATAGTTTACTGTTCAATTAATTTGAATTTAAAAATAAGATTTTTTATTTTTATAATTTCTTTCATCTAAATAAAAAAAATTAAAGAAGTATTCTTAGTTAAAAAATAATAATTCCAACATAAACAACTAAAATTAACCGAGAAGACTTGACTTTAAGCTGAAGAAACCCAAATGAGGGTTCAAGAAGCTCGGTGAGACGAACAGGAAGAAGGAAATATCAATTGTTTATTCAGTAACACTTGTCTTGATTACAGAGGCAAGGAAATATAAGTAGAGAGAAGGAGATAACGGCTAGTACACGTGTCAAACTCCTAGTGGGTATGACATCCGGAAAGTCACCATAGGTGGGTGTGGGTGGGCAAAGCCCGCTAGCGCAGAGCGTGGGTGCCCAATGGGTACCCAACTAGGACCCCATGTAGGGCTCTGGTGAGTGATTGGAAGAAGCGATACTGATGACTAATAACAGAAGACCTCTGGCAAGCGAAATATATACCTATCTATTCACATTCTGAAAGAAATTGAACGTTTCACTAACAACGCCAATTAGGAGGTCTGAATCTTCCTCTCAAACCTTAAACAATTATAAAACCACTCAACTACAACATATGAATTTTGTTGCTGTTCAAACACTATTGAATATTCCTTTCAATGACCAAATAGATGAATCTTAATTAAATTTGTATGTAAAATTCTAAAATTTCTTGTATGGACGGAGGGCCGTTTTATGAAGCCATGTATTTGTATTCACACTCTCTTTCCATTCATAAAACTAGCTTAGAAAAGACAATTTAGAAGAATAGATCGGTTGACTGACTGATCTACGCATGAAGAGAAGCTCTAATTTTGGTGGAAAAAATGTGATCCATAAATGACAAAATGGTAAAACTGTCTTAGCTAATCTGTCTTAGTAATAAAAAGTAGTATCCATAAACAGGTGAAAGGCTTTTTATGTGATTTTAGGTATTGAGAGGATTCATGCAGGAAATTAATTATTAGGGATTTAGTTAATTGTGAGCAGTGGAGGAGCCAAGATTTTTTTCTTATAGCAGACGCACAATTATGATTCTTAAAAAAATTATCGAGCTTTTTCACCTGTGCCTTGGACTAGCATCGACAATCTTAAAAGTTTTTTTGTTAGATTTGTTATCATAAAAAAATACATACAATAAAGAAAACTTAGTCTCTACCAATTTTTTGTGTAAAAGTTACGTCGATGCCTTATCGAGCTCAGCTTGTCAGTTTTAAAGTTAGCTCTAATTCAAGCTCGAGCTCGAGCCAAGCTCAAAAGGTGAGCTCGAACTTCAGCTCATCTCACTGTAAAGGAGCTCTAGCCGGCTCGCGAGCCACGGGCAGGATTTTTTAAATTTAGGCGGAATTTTTAAATTTTAAGAAAGATTTTTTAAACTTAGACGGAATTTAAAAAAAAATGCAATGTTTGGAATTTATTCTTAATTTTTTTAAAAATTAATAATTATTCGAGCCGACTCGCGAGCTCACGAGCCGAGCCTCATCAAGCTCGAACTCGAGCTTGTTTACCAAACGAATTTGAGTTTGTGCTCGAGCTCGGCTCGTGAGCTCATAAGCTTGGCTCACCAGCCCATAAACAAGTCGAGCTAGAGCCAGCTCGTGAGTCGGTTAGGCCCACTTATAACCCTAGTGGAAGCACGTGCCCCCAATGCCCCCACAATAACTCCGCCACTAATTGTAAGCCCTTAAAGCCATCTATACATTTTAGTTCAATAGTATGTCCCAGTTGATGCACTTTATGTTGTAAAACATTATTCATTAATCATTATTCAACAGGTGTTGTGTCGATTTCACCACCTATGGATTCCATTTTGCAAGCCAAAACCATTTCTTGGATATGTGGATTCTAGTTTAAAAGCAATTTCATAACTATCAATCATATTTTGATGTGTAATTTCGTAAGCTCATTTCTATATATTGATTGCCTCATCATAAAATTATCAATAGCAAGTTGGAGGAGGTCATTATTTTGTAAGATCATGCATTTATTTAGTTATAAAAAAAATTACACATCAAACACATTTACTAGTAAAACAAAAATATGTTTATGTAATTATTAATAGATGAATAAATATATGTTTCTAATGTTTTAGAAATATTAAATATTTTATTCACGTAGTCAACTACTTACTTTGGAGAAACTTGATAGTCATGCATATTTAATAGTCAAAAAGCTAATGAGTCATTGTAGATTCGAAATGCATCATCATCTTTCTTTGGGACTTCTGATTCTTCTGCATTCTATTTTCTTTGAAAAAATTCAAATATTGAAATTAATCGCTAGAACCACCCAACCACTCAACAAAATGAAATGAAGGGGGTCAATCGAGGTGCAGAACCTGATGTAGGAACATCTTAGCTTTTATTATGCTTGAGGACTAGTTTACCTTCCTTAGTCTAGATAGTTCTATTTTCTTCTTTAAATAGTTGGCTAATGTAAAGGATGAAGCTCATTGATGAAATATTATACCATTTGAAGCCTTAGAGCTTTTGTTTCTTCTTCTTCCCTGGATTGGGATCCCAAAATCCTTCTTGCAGGTCGAGTCTTCCGACAATCCACTACATCAGAACCACTCACACTTACCAACCTAACAAAAGAACATAAATAATGAGGACAATTTAGATGCAAAACCACCAGCAAAAAGAAACTTGGAAGGGTCAATAAAGCACCCAGACCGGCGAAGACAAGCAATACACTAGAAACTGACGACCAACTGCCAAACCAAATAGAATAGGGTCAAATTTTATGGAAATAAGGTTATCTTAGCTTGTCCTGTATTATAAGGACTTTGAGACCATGAAGCCCATTCTCATTATAGTTGGATTCAGTAGAAGATAAATCAATACCTTTTTTTGTAAGCCAGCCAACACACATATTCCCCTCACACTAATTATAAGAAACAACATAATCAAATTGAGTAAGAAGAGCCTTGATTTTCTTAACTAAATAAAAGAGACTAGCATTGAAGAAGTTGTTATCAGACACTAAATAAACCAACATTAGATAATCTGACTCAATCCATATGCTATGAATATTATGATCCTTGCATAATTGAAGCTTAAATAAAAGAGTCACGGCCTCAGCCATAATAACCTTGCAAATAAGAATGCAAGAAGCAAAGACAAACACCAACACACCAAGATAATCTCTAACTAAACCCCCACAACGAGCCCCATGGTTGTTAAAAGAAGGGAAATCCAAAAGCAATTCAATCTTTGCCAAACTCTTCATCTAGCACTCCGCCCCCAACCCTTTCTGCACTGCTACAGAGCATCACAAGCACGACACTTGTCACAATTTCCTTGAGTCAGCCCAGCTACAATATCCCAGGGGAAATGACTACCTTGAAAAGCCGAATCGAAGACGCCGATATGGTTGCCAACAATTTCATCGACTGGATCCCTAACTCAGGTCAATGTGCTGTAGCTGATCTACTTGGTGATTGCTGCATCACTTCATATGATTGTTCGGTTATGCTAAAGAGCTTGGTGAAAGTCGCTGATGGAAATATCTTCTTAGCCCTTGAAGGAGGTTACAATTTCAACTCTCTAGTTAATCCAGTTATTGCTTGTGCAAAAACTTTACTTGAAGGGAATCCTGTTGTTGGAAGTTTTTTTAAGGAAAGGCCTTTTGAATCTACTTGGCATGTAATCAACAAGGGAGGAATCAAATCCATCAAAATATATCTCTGGGAAACCTGCACTCATTTGATTAAGTTGGTAGACATTCATCAAAGATGCAAAGTCTTCGACCTAGGGGGATTGATTGTAATCTACACCCCTCCTCGATGACACGCTTCAACAGAGTCGAACTCTTTTGACACAAGGGGAGAATGATGTAGGAACATCTTAGCTTTTATTATGCTTGAGGACTAGTTTACCTTCCTTAGTCTAGATAGTTCTATTTTCTTCTTTAAATAGTTGGCTAATGTAAAGGATGAAGCTCATTGATGAAATATTATACCATTTGAAGCCTTAGAGCTTTTGTTTCTTCTTCTTCCCTGGATTGGGATCCCAAAATCCTTCTTGCAGGTCGAGTCTTCCGACGATCCACTACATCAGAACCACTCACACTTACCAACCTAACAAAAGAACATAAATAATGAGGACAATTTAGATGCAAAACCACAAGCAAAAAGGAACTTGGAAGGGTCAATAAAGCACCCAGACCAGCGAAGACAAGCAATACACCAGAAACTGACGACCAACAGCCAAACCAAATAGAATAGGGTCAAATTTTATGGAAATAAGGTTATCTTAGCTTGTCCTGTATTATAAGGACTTTGAGACCATGAAGCCCATTCTCATTATAGTTGGATTCAGTATAAGAGAAACCAATACCTTTTTTGTAAGCCAGCCAACACACATATTCCCCTCACACTAATTATGAGAAACAACATAATCAAATTGAGTAAGAAGAGCCTTGATTTTCTTGACTAAAAAAAAGAGACTAGCATTAAAGCAGTTGTTAGCAGACACTAAATAAATCGACATTAGAGAATTCGACTCAATCCATATGCTATGAATATTATGATCATTGCATAATTCATGGCCTCATCCATAATAACCTTGCAAATAGGAATGCAAGAAGCAAAGAAAAACACCAACGCACCAAGATAATCTCTAACTAAACCCCCAGAACGAGCCCCATGGTTGTTAAAAGCACCATCAATATAA